AAAAAAATCACTTTCAACGAATCCGGTTCCTTCTGTTTGACCTCTCCATCGGCTCGCAGTCGTACCACAAACTCGATGTGCACATAATACTGAAGCAGTTCAATTTCCATTTTGATATTCATACAGTTGTCACATGTGAATCTCGAGCACTCGGCCATTGAGAATATTCTGGTACTGTCCTCATACGTAGCATTTCCTCTGATTGAATGCCACATTGTTTACACTAGACATTAGAACCGCATGGCCCTGATGGACGTCTAATTGATAACCAATTTCGGCCGTTTCTAGGGAGACCAATAACGTCAATATTTGAGCCTAAACAAAGTCGTCGATTGAAATTCATACAACACAGAGCAGCTGTGACTTGTTTCTCCTGAGCAAGTTTGTAGTTTTGGAGATTAGCGCGCAAATCAATTAGCTAATGGCTTTGTTTTCCGGTTCTAAAACCTGATCGACAGACGAAGTAGAGGTCTGAAACGTTCTACATGATCTCCCCTTCGTCAGTTTTCAACCCCCGGTTTGTCCTTTGAATGTATGGTTTGGATACTCTAATGTCAATCTGATTTCTCGCCGGTTATCATCCTCACCCCAGGTTGCCTTCATTCTGATTGGGCTGAATTAAATTGGAAGATCTTTGGTGTACATGCGTAGCAGAATAAGGGTGAACGCCAGTGATTCTACTGCAAAAGAATCAAGTGGCTGCAGGTCTGATACATCCTCTGTCAGAAAGCCATGTTCTTTCCCCAAATACTTAGCATCTTCTTGCACGCATCTCTAAGCCTGTCTTCAAATTGCCCAGCGAATTTCAAACTTCACATTGCTCAGGTTTGTTTGGTCCAGCGACCGGGAACAAAAGGGTTTTGTAACGCTGTTCAGAGCTGCGCGGATTACGGAAAACAACGGAACCAACTGGTCTTTTTGATTGGTCGAAACGCTCCTCTGCTAGCCTTTATTGTGCAACCCTTAAAACCTGTGTACACAGGACTTAATTGTCTGCTGGAAACTCAAGTCGATAAGGACACCGTTTGGCGCGATTTGGATCCACGCAGTCCAGAATACAGCATACCATCAACGAGTATAATTTGGAGTGAAAACCATCCAAGGGGCAATAGACCTTTTCTCCTGTGGTCTCCCAGGGAAATTACAATGCAGGACTTTGCAGAGGAAGATTATCCACAGTCTTTGCAAGTTTACTGCGAATACGGAGGACCGATTCCATGTGGGGATCGACAGATCAGATTTCGAAGTGATTTCCCCCTAACTTTACCGGAGCTGGTTCAGGCAAACTTTCATTTCGTCGGATGTCCGTACATTACGACCACTCACACGAAACTTGATTGTGCGCGAGGGTAAGATATTATAGTTCGTATATTATCTGTCCGTCTTCGACTATGGGTGAGTCAACGTATGAACGAAACGTATCTGATGGCAACTTCTTGATGATGAGCCCTTAGGTTGCAGATGAAATAGGTAAATGTACCAAATCCGATAGGTTTTATCGCAATCTTTAACCTACCTGAAAAGACTCCATCGAAGTTTGTCTCAGTCAAAGTTCTAGCTCCTGGTTTCGGTTGGAGCTCTCCGTTAAACCACCAGTATGTGTAAGATATGGCGTAAATTTTGCAAGCTCAAACGACCAAAAACCTTTTACGATCACAAGCGTGGTCCGTTGCTATATCTCCCCATCTACGTCCCAAAATGAATGGCGTTCGCCTAAGCCTTTCTATGTAAACTGGTGGCCTTTTCCTCAGTCCTTTGTGAGTTTCTGCCTCTCTAATTTGGTGAGCCGAGTAGAAAACACATGCCGGTTCACCTCTGGATCTTGTGTGAGTAAATGGTCACTTATTACACCAAAATGTTTCATTTTAGATGCGCACTCGATTCTGCCTGTCGATCAATCTACTATGACCACATCACCGGCAAATGTGTCCAAATGATGCACGCCGATTCACTACTACCAAAGTTGGTCGGAACAGGCGGAAATGTCTGGAGCCGTTTCGCAAAAGTCTCCGTGAATTCCGTCACGAACTAAGAGGATCTACTGAAGACGGAAAGACCGACAGAATAACCATCTAAGCCCACTACTCGATTCCTCAAATCTGTCCACAAAAATGATTTTCGTCCCTAAATGTTCCATATTTTACACTTTAAACTTCCATAAAACCTTACTGGTTGATCTCCGTTGTTTTGGTTATCTGTTGTCTGCTATGTGTTGTGCAAGCTTTATACATTATTTATTTCTCACGATTATTGTTCTTCACGACGTATCACAAAATAAACCACTCTCCTTCGTTCCATAATCTGTAGTACATTCGTGTAATGGCCGTTCGACAAA